ACCCCCTTGACACCTTGCAGCAACCTGATCACTGGGGGTACGATGGCACACGCCGCTCGACCCTCTCCATCCTCCTCTCCAACTCTGCGCTCTTGGCGTCGATGGTCTGCCATCTCCCGATGTTTCTGTGCGCGTCGGTCTTCAGGTAGTGAAGGTCTTGGGTGACTCCTTCTTCACCCTCCTCCACCTCCTCCACCCTGTCCTCGATGGCTTCCAAACGGGCCATGACTTTGTCGAGCTCGTTCCTCCCCAGCTCCTCCAGCCGCTCAATGCGCTCTTCCAGAGCACTCTTCTGCATCTTGAGCATCTCATTCTCTTGCTCCAGTCTCCGCCTCTCCGCCCTCTCCGCGGCCTCCTTCAGAGCCTTGTTCTCTCTCCTTAGCATCTTATTTTCATGCTCGAGGCTCTGACTCTGGCCTTTTTGCCTCGAGTCCTCGTTCTCATTCAGAGCTTGATGGGGGCGGAGGTGGAGGGCCGCGTCGCCCTCAGACCTGGACCTTCGACGTAGAAGGGGCTCATCATCTGAATCAACAACATTGGACGGATCAATGCTGTTGGACTTTGCAATCTCAGAGTCTCCGTTTCGGCTTGACCTATTGAGTTTGCGCTGTTTGGAGGCCCTGGGAGCCTCTTCAATGGCGTTCGAGGCCAAGGACGAGCTCAGAAGCTCCCTGATGTCGCAATGGAGCTCGCGGGGGCGCCCTTGACACCACGCTTCCTGAAATTCACTCCCACGCGAGAGCTTGACCCCATCCCAGAACTCGGGCTTGTGTCGGGTCGGATCGATGGCCCAGTCCAGCTGTAGAAGAGAGAGGAGGTCCGACAGCCACCTGTCCATGTTCTGTCGATGGTGGAGGACAGCCAGTGCCGTCAGTTCTTCTTTTCCACCAATTGCCGGTATCTTGTGGGGAGTGGAGCCGCCCACAACCTCGCGCCAGCTTTGCCTCCTTGACATGGCCCGGCCGAAGGCCAGGATCGCCTGTGTGTTATCGCGCCACTGTTGCGTGATCGTGTGCGCGTCCGGGTCGCCGAAGAGAGACCGGTCGAGTTCGCCGAAGACCCTGTTTAGATCAAGCCCGGGAGGGAATCCGTCTGGGAAGAACTCGTTCTGGAAACTCTCGAGGTACTCAAAGGCCCAGGTCTCTTTGATCCTGGCGTCCTCTTCATCCTCGACCCTGTCCTCCCATGGTGTGGGAGTGGCGAGACTCTTGCGCTTCCTTCCCGTTCGCAGACGAAATACGGGCGCCATTGGTGTGGTATCGGTGAAGGTTAGGTTGACGGGGACTGGGTTGGTCCGAAGATTGATATCTGCTGAGGCCCCGCGTTAGATATGGGATGTTCGTTCAAGACTTGGATGTGCCAGTGACACGGGAACAAACCTTTTCCGCTCGGTTGACGGATGATAAGAATACCCAACTGGCGACTGGACAGTTGGGAGGTAGATGTTTGCTCTTGGTTTCGAAAAATCGAGGTGAGATGTCGGATGTTGCAAGAGATGGCTCCTCAGTTCCTCAGCAGGTCTTTGGCTTGGTGAGAGGAAAGATGATGCTGTCCATGTCTTTTGGGGATGGCTCCAATGACTTGATAGCCTCGTCTCGACTTTGTCGAGCTTGGTGGAGGGGAAGAGGAGTGAAGGGGAGTTCGCAGCGGGGTGCCAAGCGGAAGTTGAGCTCGGAGAATGAGAAGAGGACGTGACGGTGTAGTATCCGGGGTTGGAGCCCAGTGCAGGAGCTTGAAAATAAGTAGAGGGTGGAGTTTGGAAGCACCTCGCCTGTGGCCCTCCTCTTCGGGGTAGCGATAACGAGTTCGCGGTGAGGAGGAAGGGCAGATGGGGAGGGGAGTTTGCGTGTCTGGTGACTGGACTGGACCAGCTGGAGTTGAACTGGAAAAGTGAGAAACAGGGGTTTTGAATGAGATTCGAGGTGGGAACCCAGTGCGGGAGCTCGAGCCAAACAAACGGTCGCCCGTTTGATGACGCCTTGCCTATTGTGCTCCTTTCCGTGATGTTGGATTTGTGAGGGGAGACTGGAGGGTGGGGGTTGGTGGTTTGGTTCCCGAGGTTGAAGTATGTCGAGAAGGCTGGGAGGATGAAAGGTGGTTGCGGTGTCGGATTTGAGGTGGGAGTTGGAGGAAGAGGTGGAAGAGGTGGGAGAGGGGAAGAAGATTTGAAGGGAATTATTGTTGTTCATCTGAAAAAGAAACCGCAGAGTCGCTGCGTTTGAAGATGCCACTCCATTTCGTTCGTCAATCCCACCCTCGTGTCCATTTGAGTTTTGACAATGTCACAGACAGGAGCACCTTCCAACAAACCCTGGCCCGGGGGGTGAAGCTGACCCCACCATCCAGAGATGTCCTTCCGCCGACCACACCTAGTGCCATACGACCCACTCACCACGTCCGACTCGGTTCGCATCCTCGTGGCGTCTTGAAAGCGGCAACGGCAGCGACCGATCCATCTCGGGCGAGCCCCAGACCATCCACCTCCCGTCGACTCCACGGACCATCGTGCCGCCCTTCACCGCGGCCTCTTACGCCTGGGGGAACGCGACAAAGTTGCTCAGCATCACCCTCGATGGCCACCCCTTTCCTATTCTCAACAGCCTGTACCCTTTCCTCGACGTCATCTGCCGAAAGTCCGGCGCCTTCTATGCCAACGGATGGTACTGGATCAACTCCATCGGCATCGACATATCAGACCAACAGCGACAAGGTCTTGAAATCGGAACCCGGTTCCTTCATTTCTCCAACCACGCCCTGAAGTCAAAGCCAGATACATATTTCCCTGCGGATCAGGTCCCGAAGTTAAGACTGGAGGTGTCCGGTCTGTCATTCAGGTCTCTCTTGCTTTGTGGTAGATCTGTCGCTAACAAACAACCGAGGGGATCAATGTACGGGGGAAGTCAGTAGGTTGTTGCTAGATGGGGTGGCAATGCCAAGTGGCGGTTGAACTCGACGAACTCAAGGAAGAGTGAAGAAAGCCAAAAATGGGCAAAGCCAGAATACCGTGATGCTATAGTCAGCGACCAGAGAGATACGAGGGGACTGAGGATATGATGTTGCATTTAAAGATACAACTGACGCCACAGGCATGTCCCGAACTCGACTGGAGCCGGAAGAAATGTGAGGGTAATGACAGACGATAGAATGAAGACCACGGGACCCCAAGAATCGTGTTCCATTGAGAGATACATCTGACCCAGAGGTATGTCATGAACTGCGCTTGAGCTCCGAAAACAGTTGAGGGTACCTAATGACAGGCGATGGAATAAAGAAGACCAGGGGATGGAAAGCAAATGCATGAAGGACAAGACCGTCGTCGAAACCGCAATGAAACTCGACCATCGGAGTTTTCCTCGTGGACAAAAAACGTCAAATGGGTATTAAATGTACCTACAGCATCCATTATTGATCTTTTCGCAGCTCGACTTGGGCGGACTGTTGCGGGAGACGCCTCGGCAACGTATGGACCCGCGGCGGGTGTTAGTCTCCAAGCTGTCAAGTTATTTTCTGTCGACGGCGTCGACGACGCAGTTTTCTCAGACTCCTTGGGCTTCTCATGAAGGGAAGCAGACATAGTCCTCAAAGCCATCACACTCCGCCCATCCAAGCAGGGTTTATCGCCAACCACCCGATCGACTGGGCACCGCATACGAACTCGGGAGAAGATGCCCGAGATGCCTCCCTCTTGTACTCCGACCACGACCACCGAGAGCGGAAACGAAATATCGCCGAATTTCTGACCCGAACGATTGAAGCCTGGCGCAGCGAACCTGCCTGTGTTTGCCGGGAAGGGGCATATTCTCCTGCTGCGGCTTGGTTGTCACACCAACGATGTCGTCACACCAACGACGTCGTCACCCATGACGGTGTCTGCGCCGTGACCAGTCTTTTGTTATTTGCTGGTAACTGGCTGCACTTGAACAACTGGCCGCACCTGGACTTGCATCCGGTTAAGACCTCGTGGCGTTGTGGGCGGATCGTCTGGGCTTGTCTGCAAAGGACGGCGACGGCGAGGTAGAGTACGGCGAGGTAGCTCGACACAAGGGGGGCTGATCCAGGGGCTGGCTCAGGCGTCTGGTCACGAGGCTCCTTCTTCACCGTTTTTCCTGGCGTCTGGCCACGAGGCTCCTTCTTGACCACCTTCTCTGGACTGGGTATCCTTTTCGGCTGGATCTTGGAAGAAATCTCCTCGGGCTCCTCCTCCGTCAGAGGACGGACCATCATGGACCATCATGGATGTTTTAGGAAGCTATGAAGGCCCGGATCGAGGAGTTGAAGAAAGCCCTGGATGGCCAGGTTAAGGAGGAGGCTACGATGAAGGAGGAGGGCGACGTCAAGGAGGAGGCCAAGGTGAAGGAGGAGGCCTATGAGAGAGATTCGGGAATCCGACCCAACTGAGCGAGAAGGAACAACCACGCGGATCCCTTGGTCTCCCGCTGCGCAGCACCCGGGAATTTAGGGCATGGAATCGGTGAAATTGTGGTTTGCTTTGGGACGTACCAGCAAGTGGAAAGGGTTCCTCTGGCACTTCGGGGTCCTCGTTAGAGAGCCCCCCCCGCCAGGCCATGCGAGTCTTGTTGAAACAGAACCGTGTGGTAACCCTACATGCAAGTCAACAGAGAAGTCGTTGACATGTAGCCATCTAGACTCGCACAAACGGCTCTGGGGAGAGAGGGGAAGAGGAGGAGCCCCCCTCGATGCCGATTTTACATTTATGTGCTGCCAAACCATTTCCCTTGAACATACCGAGGGAAGAGGCAAGGCGACCGCCTTCCTTCTCCTGGGACACATTCAACATTTTGTACGTTTCCCTGCAATGGCCGGAGGTCAGAGAAGGAGTAACAGATGCTCTTGCCTTGAACCGATGCCCTCTGGGCCTTGGTGACGCAAATGAACGGCCATCCAGCATGGTCTTTCCCTCTCGCCCCCTGCCCCCTGCCTCCCCCCAAGCGGAAGCTGGGTCTTGAGCTCTAGTTGCGCTTTACCTTTCATCAATCACAGACACCTTGGCGGAGTGGTCAAACGCGCTGCCCAACTATCCTTCGAGACTCTACTTTCCAAGTACTGTTCAAGATATGTGGTCACTGTTCGATTCCGGCTTGCAACATTGTTTCTATCGTTTCTATCAATAGCTTCAATCCCTGCTTGTAGGATTGTTTCAAGTAGACGTCAGGCAGTTCCTTCGGGAGCGTAGGTTCGAATCCTACAGGTGTCAAATCAATTTTTTGCCTCTCCTTGCGCAGTACCCTCCAGCTCTTCACTCGCCTTTTCCCCTACCTCTATCCATTTGCAAACACACACACCCCACATCCCTCCCAAGTCTCCTTCTTCGACTCTGTCACACAGTCACAAAGTGGCTTGACTGCAAAGAGGCATGAATCAATTGAGATGATGATTGGAGAAGCGACCCAGAGACCCTGCCGTCTACACCGCGGCGGAGGACGCGCAACCGCGGTTTCCCATGCTGCCCGACGGAAGGCAGCTCGCCTCCCGTGCCGGGGATGGTGTTGGATCACATCGAGGGTATCAGCCCGGTACCAGGCCAAGAGGAGGACCTGAGCCTCGGTCTCATCAATACTACGGGCAGGTAACATCGTCGGTCAAAACAACTTAAGTACTAACTCGAGCCCGACAGATGACTCCGAGTCCCGGCAACTACCAAGCCTCAGAAACCACCAACACATTGACACGCTGCATAGCCGTCAACCGGCACGACCGCTACCTCTACATCGAGGGTCCCATCAACGCCTTCCGTGACGACTCGGCAGCAAGATCAAATCCGGACCTGTCAGTCTGCTACAACTGGCTCTTTAGACTTTAGATGACTCTAGGCCACCACCGGGCTTCTCCCCCGTGACATCACCCCTGTGGGACACAATCTCTTTCGCCGCCGAGTCCCACACTCCAACAGAACCACAGCAACTGCCCTAGACCTCGAAGCTCTTACCACCCAGCGCGGACTGACCTCTCGTCTCTTTGACACGGCGGCGTCGCACCCGATGAGGACTTGGAAGCGCCTGTCACTTGGCACCGCAGGGCGGATGCTGGGCATTAGTCCGCTTGGCGAGAAAGGGTGATATCGTGCATATGTGTGTTGAGCAAGGGTGTTCATTGTGTGTCTAGCGTCCCCAGACGAGACGGCATGGATAGGTAACTTTGAGTTGTGGGGGAGTGCTGCGTGGACGGCATGACGGATGGGGAGGCCGAGCCGCTGGGACGGGAGTGCGGTCTCTTGTGATTTGTGTACAATCGACCGAAGAGGCGGGTGGAAAGTTCCCCTCCCGTGACAAGCCAACCCGCCTTCGGCATTACACAGGTTCGTCCACTCCAACAGGTTCCATATCCAGAATCTCCATCTAACGTCACTGGGCCCTGGCCCTCTTCCGAGTATAGCCCGACCCTGCTGGCTTCTATCCTCGTCCACATTTCTCGCTGAATCAAATGCTGCCCCTGGGTATCACCTATGCGCCTGCCTGTACCTCTTGATGAACGCCGAATGGAAAAAAGGAACAACCAAAGGTCAAGTTACCCCCGTGTCCCCTCCTCCCATGGGTATATCCTCCACTTCTATCCCTCCATGCCATTCAAGTCCCCTTCCCCTCCCCCTCCCCGCCCTCTCCCTCGCCCTCGCTCTTCAACAACAACCCCTCAATCTTCTCCCACAGCTCCGGAATCCGAAACGGCTTTCTCACCAAATCGTCCATCCCGCTCCCCCTCGCCGCCGCCACCTGCTCGTCTCTGACATTGGCCGTCACCGCAATGACCGGCACATGGCCCTTCTTCCCGCCCATCGCCATCCGCCCCTCGGCCTCCATCCGCCGAATCTCCCGGACGCACGTCAGCCCGTCCATGTTGGGCATCTCGAGGTCCATCAGGATCACGCTCAGCGCCACGCCGCCCGGCTTGAGGAAGTGCGTCGTCTCGAGGAACGCCAGGCACTCGATGCCGTCGTTGGCGACGGCGACGGTGCACCCGTGCTTGCGGAGCTGCTTGACGAGGACCCGTTGGTTGATGAGGTTGTCTTCAACGACGAGTATCGAGATGTCCTCGGGGCGGAGGGACGATGGGCCCCGCACGTCAAAGTAGGAGGTCAGCTGAGAGTGGGGGTGCCTCTCGGCCGCCGGGGAGGACCGCGTGGCGATGAGGTTGTGGGCGGCGACCGAGGAGGGGGAGGCGGCGTAGTCTTGTCGCTGGGGAGTAGGTCGAGGGTCGAGGGACGGGCTGCCGCTGAGGTGGGTCTCGATCGCAAGGGGCGCGTCGCGGGCCGGATCGTCAATGTGTAGGGGGGCGCACCGCCTGGCTTGGATGAAGAAGCCAAAGGTGGAGCCCAAACCGGCTTCTGAGGCGACGCCGATCTGGCCACCGTGGAGCTCGGCGAGGCGCTTGGAGATGAAGAGACCGAGACCGCTGCCGCCATACTGTGCGTGCGTGCGCGGGGAGGCTTGCTTGAAGCGCTGGAAGAGCATTTGCTTCTCCGATGGGGTCAGCCCACAACCGCTGTCTCGGACGTGAAATTGTATGTAGACACGCTCGCCCTTGCCCCAGTCGTCTGTCATGGTCCCGGCTTGGGTTTCCGTGTTTGGGTCGACGTATTGGAAGCCAGGCCGGGATTCGCAGTCGGGTGGAGATATGGAAGCGGCGAGGGTGACAGTGATGAGGCGCTCTGTGGCAGGGGCGGTGAATTTGATGGCGTTGGTGAGAAGGTTGATGAGAATTTGCAGCACCCGACTCGGGTCGATCATGACCCAGCTCGCATGTGTGTCGTACGAGGCTTCAATGTCAAATTGAACCTTGATGTCCTTGGCCTTGAGCTCGGGATCAAACATGACGACGGCCCGACGCAAGATCTCGGCCGGCTGTGAGGCGACGGGGGTCAGCAGGAGCAGGTTCGAATCCAGCTTGGATATGGTGAGGATGTCATCGACAATCGACTTCTGATGCTGCACACAGAGGCCTATTGTTTGGGCCGCGTCGAGGCAGGAGTCGACGACGGGTTGCACATCCGGAGTGACATCGTTGCGGCAGGTGGCTAGGGCTGATGAAATGTCGTCTGCGCATTGCAGGATCGCGCTCAAAGGGTTTCGCATCTCGTGCGAAGTGATGTCGATGAATTCGTTCTGCTGCCTCCGCGTCTCCTCGGATTCGAGCAACCGTCGAGACTGCAACCCCTGTGCCCATTTGAGGTGGGAGATGTCGGTGATGGAGCCCATGATGGACCGGAGGGACCCATCCGGCGCGAGCTCGGGATTCGAAGTCAGCAAGACCCATGACTCGATGGACTCGCCGTTGAAGTCGACGGGGTTGGGCGAGCATCTCTCGAGCTGGAGCTCGCTGGACCACGGCTGACGATCGCCCACAAGCTGCTGCCACCCGACGCGAACGACTGCTTTGCTCTTTTCCGTCAAAAAGTCCATCCAAGACATCTCGTATTCCGTCTCCCTCGTGTGGCCTGTCATCTCGTAGAAGCGATCATTGGCCTCGCGAAGAACCCCCTCGGGACTGATGAGAAACATGCCCAGGGGAGACAGTTCTGTCATCCGCCGGAGCCGGCTCGCCTGTAGATCCAACTGCTGTGTAAGTTGCTGCTTTTCGAGGGCCGCAGCCTCGACGACATCTCGATTCCGGCGCGTCTCGTCCTCAAACAGCATCACCGAAGCCAGCGATGTCGCCAGCTGCCGGTTGAGCATGCTCGTAAACGAGACGTATTCGCTGTCGTATGGCCTTCGGGGGTTGACGCCCAGCAGCAAAAAGGCAACCACGTTCTCCCCATTGGTAGGCCGCACGGGGAAGATGATGGCCTCGCGGCAGGGGTCGCCAAAGCCGCGCCAATTGATGCCCTCCAGCAAAGCCTCCGGGAGGGTTCCGTCGCGTGTGTGAAGTAGGGTGGGCTCCCTCGTCCTCATGGCCTCGCGAAATGAGGGGATGAAACCGTCCCGGCTGCGCTTCAGATCGAGGTTTTTTGGTGCTGCGAGGTGTCCGTCGGGCACGCCAATCGACCCCTCGAGGTGACACGTCTTGAGCGAAATGGTGCTTCCCGACGACATGGACGAGTGATCGCCGTCGCCGTCGTCGCCTTCGCCAACTGAGTAGAGCAGCGCAAAGGGGACATCGCGCTCGTTGTCCAGCAGGCCATCCAGGACCATGTTCCAGAACTGCTTGACCGTCTTGGCCTGGGCGGTGCACTCGCCGAGCTTGTTGATGGTGTGCATGCGGCGGTGGCTAAGCACCTGCTTGGTGGTGTCAAAGGGCGCGTTGTAGAAGCCCTGGATGCGTCGTGTGCCGCCGTAGAGGGGTGTGAAGCTCCAGGAAAAAAAGGTCTCCTCGAGCATACCGTAGCGGTTGATGGGCAGATAGTCGTCCTCCTTCCGCACAGAGATACCCGTACGCGCGCACTCGGCAAATACAGGGCCGGTATAGTCCCACAGCTCGGCAAAAGGTCCCGAGAAACCCGTCCCCATCAGCGCTGGGTGCTTGTTGCCAGCCACCTCGTTGGCATAGGCCTGGTTGTACAGCATCGTCAATTCGGAACCCCAAAAGATTGCAGCCGGGCTATATATCATATTAGCGCCTACGCTTCGCGGAAGCTCGGAAAGTCCTTACTGAGGGTTCGCCATGCAGAGGTTGGCAGCCTGTCGGAACTCGGGGGACCAGCTGTCCATGGAGCCGAGAGGGGTGGCTCCCCAGTCGATAGTACGCGCGAACTCGAGGTGGGGAGACAAGATGCCTTTTGGGTTGGCGCAAGTCCAGTCGGCCACGGCCTTTTCGGGGGTTGCGAGGACGATGGAGGTGCTGAGGGAGGAGGCGCCCGTGTCGTCGGAGCTCCCGTTGGTCTTGGTGGGCATGCGGGCCGACTCGGCGGCGATGGTGGTGCCAGTGGCAGTGGCAGTGTCCTCCTTCTTCTTCTTCTCGGCGCGTTCGGCGCGGATGCCGCCGGTCGCGATGTCGGGGGGTGAGCCGGACGACAGGTCGCGGAGGGGCCCGGTGTCGCGCCAGAGGCGGTTCCCGCTGATCAGGCGCCAGCGCTTGTGGACCGTCGAGCCGGTCCAAAGCATGTCGGCGTATAGGAACGATAGGGGGAAGATGTCGCCCGACTCGTCATGAGGCGTCACGCCCGTGGCCCATTTCTTGAAGGCGGCGAACGAGGCATCGGAGGCGGTCGTGTCTTGGTCGGTCTCGGGGCCGATATCGCGGGGGTTGAAGCCGCGGGCGTCGACG